GAGCCTCAGCATTAGATGTGGGCATTGCCTCACACCAGCTGCGATTTGCCTGCATTGCATAGAGAAACACAGACACGCAGGGATCACATTGGTAAGTTTTTTTTTTTTTTTTTTTTTTTTTTTTTTTTTTAACTAAAAGCTGTTGCTAAAAAAAAAAAAAAAAAAAAAGTAATAGATTACCAGAATCAGTAACAAAAACTGGTATCAGAGAGATGTACAGAAGACACTGGTCTCGGTGACAATCCTTAAAATGTGAATTCTGGGCACAAAAACTTTTTTAAATATGCTCCTCAATATTCATAACAGATGTATATGTGGTCATGCAACGCTGCATCTAAATGAAATTTATGTCCTTTTTTTCCCACAAATAGTTTTCTTCTGGTGATATTTGATCACCTCTGCATTTTTTTTTTTTTTTTTTTTTTTTTGCACTATGAAAAAAAAAAACAAGACCGCCAATTTTGAGGAAAAAAAATATTTTTGAATTATTGCTATTAAACATGTCCAGTAAAAAAATTTAAAACACATTTCTTTAATTTAGGCCAAAATGTATTCTGCGTCATGTCTTTGCTAAAAAAAAAAAATCCCAATATGTGTAAATTATTAGGTTTACATGAAAGTTATAGCGTCTACAAATGGTATATATACTGGAATATTTTTTTTTTTTATACTAGTAATGGTGGCGATCAGCGAATTATTGCAGGACTGCTGTGGGCATTCTGACACTGGGGGGGAACTAACTGTCACTGACATCCCCAGTGACACCCATACAGTGATCAGTGCTAAAAAAAAAAAAGTGCTGACACTGTACTAATGACACTGGGCAGGAAGTGGTTAACATCTGGGGCAATCAAAGGGTTAACTGTGTGCTGTGTTTTACTGTGTGCTCTGTGTGTGCATTAATCAAGACAAATGTAGAGTCCATTGCCCTGCATTATGCATGATGTCACCATGGAACAGTCCACCACCAGAGCATGAGGGAGTGCCTCTTGCTAGGGAGGAGAGGATAAGTAAACGTGCTTCTCCTCTCCCTGAGACTAAACAAGCCGTTAACCCTTGCAGAGGGGTGCAGTCCCACTGAAAATGGTCATTTTCAAATTTCCTGGAGTTGGGCTTTAAAGCCGAACTCCAGGCAAAAACGTCTTTACATGTCTTTGTTGTTGATTTCCTACCTTCACTGAATATGTCATCCATCTTCTGGTTCACTCAGTAGTTGCTCTGAAATTAATTTTCAAATCAAACCGTTAATTCTCTTTTGGTTTTCCGCTTGTAAGTCCGGTGGCTGCTATGCCTCCTATTCCCCCCCCAACCACTGGTCTTGGCACATCCCTTCTGTAGTTCTTTCTCCAGGAAGCAGTGATGTAATTCAGCCCCACTTGCAGTGTTGGGTGGACCGAGACACTCAGGCACATTTAACATGTACAGGCTAAGTGTACTCGCCCACATTCAGTACAATTCCCTGTGGTTGATGGGAATTGTAAGTTTCCTTTTACTGCAGAAAGAGAGAAGAGGATATGATGTAATCCCGGCTGTTACACCTCCTCCTTGGCAGAGCAGATGCTGTTATCTTTTGAATTACAGAGATGAGGTCATGGAAAATCCTAAATGGTAAGGATTTTCAAAATGTTATGAACTGTTTAGTGTTTGTGTAGGGGGTGTACTAATGGGTGATTTTTTTTTTTTTTTTTTGCCTATCCTGGAGTTCTTCTTTAAGCTTACTTTCATAAACTTCTTTCTCTTAAAACCAAATTCCAACTTTGCTGTTAAATCAGTTTATACCTACTTTACATTCTAGGTAATCCTATCAATGAACATTCTTATTTTCTGCCTTTTGGTCTATTAAATCTACCATTTGATAGTGTTTTACTATATCTGTTCGATAAGTGCAAAAATTAATTGTTGACACTGCCAGAAATGTTGGTTCTGATGGTGCTACAGCGTAAAGCATTCTCCTGTGAGTCCAGGGTGGCTCAATGACTTACGCCCAGGGGTGTGTCCATGACACCCTTGACTCACAGGAAGTTAGTCAAATAAAGCTCAGCATTATTAAACTTGGATGAGGATCAGCACTGGATCTCAGAGCTGTGAGTCTGCTGTAGATGGTGGCTCTAGTGATAAGGTGAGTCTTGTTGCCTTTTTATTATAATCCGTGTAGGACACATTTTTTTTTTAAGTGGTCCTAAAGTTTAGGCCTGGTGAACATCTGTGCGTGTTGAATTTTTTTTTTTTTTTTTTTTTTTGGCGTGTTTGCCTTTCTGAACACACTTTTTTAATGTTTTGCCAATAGGAAAGTATTGAGTGTAACTTTGATGGGACTTTACTCAACTTTGCGTCAGAGCAGTGCAGGAACCTTTTCAAAGCAGCTGCACTACTTTCATGTGACTTGAGTGCCAGAGATTGTGAGAAGTCACAATCAATACTTTCCTGTTTGCAATGCCCCCACCACCATCTCCCCTCCCGCTCCCACCCCATTTTACATTTTTGTTGTGGTTCCATTGAAGTCTATTGCACCAGAAACACAATCTGCTGCGGTAAAAAAAGGTCCCTGACCCTTTCCAAAAACGCAACAGCTGAGAACGATTAGATGTGAACGTGTCTCATAGGAAACCATGTTAAACCGGCCGTCTGCGTATAATGATGTAAACGACAATGGTATTAAAGTGATATTAAAGGCACTTACCTGCTTTGTGCAGTGGTTTTGCTCAGAGCAGCCCAGATCCTTCTCTTCTTGGGTCCCCCACCAGTGCTCCTGGCTTCTGCCTCCAATCAGGTGCCCCCACAGCAAGCAGCTTGCTATGGGGGCACCCAAGTTGCCTCACTCCCAAGCCGCTGCTCTGCGTGTCCACTCACACATAGAGCCTCATCTCTGCCCGCCCCCCCACTTTCTCCTCATTGGTTCTCTGGCTGTGATTCACAGCAGTGGGACTTACTGTCGACATGAATAGGGAGAGTTCTGTTGGATTGGGATGGGGCTCAGGTAAGTATTAGGAGGGCTGGTGCACACAGGAGGTTTTTCACCTTCATGTATAGAATGCATACAGTGGGGATCGAAAGTTTGGGCACCCCAGCTAAAAATTTGTATTAATGTGCATAAAGAAGCCAAGGAAAGATGGAAAAATCTCCAAAAGGCATCAAATTACAGATTAGACATTCTTATAATATGTCAACAAAAGTTAGATTTTATTTCCATCATTTACACTTTCAAAATAACAGAAAACAAAAAATGGCGTCTGCAAAAGTTTGGGCACCCTGCAGAATTTATATCTTGTACTGCCCCCTTTGGCAAGTATCACGGCTTGTAAACGCTTTTTGTAGCCAGCCAAGAGTCTTTCAATTCTTGTTTGAGGTATCTTTGCCCTAGATTTTCTATCCATAGATTTTCAATTATGTTGAGGTCAGGAGATTGTGAAGGCCATGGCAAAACCTTCAGTTTACGCCTCTTGATGTAATCCCCCATGGATTTCGAGGTGTGTTTAGGATCATTATCCATTTGTAGAAGCCATCCTCTCTTTAACTTCAGCTTTTTCACAGATGGCATCAAGTTACCATCGAAAAGTTGCTGAAATTTTATTGAATCCATTTTTCCTTCTACTCGTCGTGAGATGTTCCCTGTGCCACTGGCTGCAACACAACCCCAAAGCATGATTGATCCAACCCCATGCTTAACAGTTGGACAGAGGTTCTTTTCATTAAATTCTGTGCCCCTTCTTCTCCAAACGTACCTTTGCTCATTCCGGCCAAAAAGTTCAATTTTTAACCTCATCGGTCCACAGAACTTGTTTCCAAAATGCATCAGGCTTGTCTATATGTTCATTTGCAAAGTTGAAACGATGATTTTTGTGGTGAGGACGTAGAAGAGGTTTTCTTCTGATGACTCTTCCATGAAGACCATATTTGTACAAGTATCTCTTTATAGTGGAATAGTGTACCACAACTCCAGTGTCTGCCAGATCTTTCTGGAGGGATCGTGCAGTCAAACGTGGGTTTTGCATTTTTTCTCACAATCCTGCGAGCTGTTCTGTCTGATATTTTTCTTGGTCTTCTAGATCTTGCTTTAACTTCCACTGTTCCTGATGACTGCCATTTCTTAATTACATTCCGAACAAAGGATATTGACATCTGAAAACGCTTTGCTATCTTCTTATAGCCTTCTCCAGCTTTGTGAGCGTCAACTATTTTCAGTTTCAGTTTTCTAGACAACTGCTTAGAAGAACCCATGGTGCTGATTGTTGGGGCAAGGTCAGATGAGTCTGGGCATTTAAAACCTTTGAGATTGACATCACCTGGTTTTTCTTCCCAGACGATGATTGAGAACAATCCATGACACTGGCAGGTCTCAGCTTGGCAAACGGGGGCAATGCATGCTATAAATTCTGCAGGGTGCTCAAACTTATGCAGACGCCATTTTTTTGTTTTCTGTTATTTTGAAAGTGTAAATGATGGAAATAAAATCTAACTTTTGTTGACATATTATAAGAATGTCTAATCTGTAATTTGATGCCTTTTGGAGATTTTTCCATCTTTCCTTGGCTTCTTTATGCACATTAATACAAATTTTTAGCTGGGGTGCCCAAACTTTTGATCCCCACTGTTAAGGTCAAAAACTCTGTGCCTTTACAACCACTTTAACTTGTACAAAAATTCTCGTCTTCCAAAGGCAAGCGTTCTTTCTTGTATATGATTTCTATGCTTGTTTCCACCTTCTGGGTCGTTCTTTGCTTCTGATCATGCACGTTTTTCCCTATTTGACTATTTCCATATGATTACTATGCACATTGAGCGAAAAATCGGTTGTTGTGTTCACATGCAACAAAAATTTTCTAGCTTGCACTTTTTTTTTTTTTTTTTTTTTTTAACACCAAACAGTCAGAATTGGCTGTTCGAAAGCACTATGCTAATGATCCGATAATCGGCCAATCGTGCGTACCTACCTTTACATATTCTAACAACTACGTAGTGTATGGGCCTGTTCAATCAATTGATTTGGCTTTTATCCAGCCAGGTGGTCCTTTGCACTACATACAGTAACTGGTAAATCTAAAGTACATTTTGCATTCAGATTGTGACATCTGTGGCCAGCTTTATACATTCAAACCAATAAAAAAGCTCTCATGTCGGGAGCCAGCGTCTTTAATTTTGCCGCATGAGCAAGTCAAGTATGAAAACGTTTGAAGAAGGGTGCTATGAAGGGAGAAAGCAACTCTTAGGTTTATCATAGATAAACTCCTTTGCTTGCAGCAGCATTTAATACTCCAGTGGAGCATGGATAAAATGTGCAAATTAAATTGAGAAGCAGCTTCTTGTTTCAGATACATATCTCTATATTCTGCTCTGCAGGAGATGGTCCTGGGGATGCATTAACCTCGTATAGTACATCTCAGAAAACAGAATCTTTGTCCCTTTTCTATTTTTAAGGGATATTTACAGCAGTGTTGGAGACCAATCTGCTGTTTGTATTTCTTTTTTTTTTTTTTTTTTTTTTAGCCCACGTAAGATTTCTGGGTGGCAAATAATTACCCATATTGTTTTTTTGAATGGTATTTTATTTGGACAAAGCTGATCCTCTTTTATAGCCCTTCAGGATGAGGAAGGGGTCTGCAATAGCAGCTGGCATTTACTTTATTTTTACTTTACTCTTTTATACAGTGCAACTGTCAAGAAAATCACTTGAGTTGGTTATTGAGATGCCACGAAATCTGCTGAACCAAATATTTCATAGTATAAAATTTTTTAATTTTTACATGTTAAAAACCTCATAAATTAAATAGGAACAATGGTAACCGCACACATGACAATACATTTATGTACTATCATTATATCTCTGTGTGCCTTGTATTTGCCACTGTTTAGTGTTTAGACATTTCCAAAGTTCCCAGACAACGGATCATTAAAGTGGTTGTAAACCCTTACAGATACCTGTAACGATTGTGCGCAATAGGGACATGGAACCTGTACGCGGCGGCCATTTTTGTTTTTCATGAGCAATAACCTTCTCCCCTCCTCCTGAGAACTGGAATTTGTAGCTGTAACTTTTAATGAACTTCAAAAGAGCCTCTTATCTTAATTAAAACACAAATAGACACCAGCATCCAGAGCTGTAAACAGCTAATTAGTCTTGGCATGTTGATGTCTGTTTCCAGGGACCATGAAAAACACTTTCCTCTACCCCATCGTAAAACAATAACTCAGTCAAGCAGTCACACATGACCTGTAAGGCCATTAGAGCTCTAGGAATGCAGGCCTACCATAAAACGTCTATTCCACATGTAACAATTCCTCATACATTTCATAGAATTCAACAGGAACAGGGCACATTAATATTATACTTCACCTCCGCAACATCTCCCAAGATATGCCCATTCCTAACCACGGAAACCACTAAGCAACTTATTCACTCCCTTGTTATCTCTCGCCTTGACTATTGTAACTCCCTCATTGGCCTACCTCATCGCAGGCTATCCCCTCTTCAGTCTATCATGAATGCTGCTGCCAGACTCATCCACCTTACTAACTGTTCCGTATCTGCCACCCCTCTCTGCCAATCCCTCCACTGGCCTCCATTCAGTTCCTATTGCCAATCCCCCAACGGATTAAATTCAAAACACTAACAACGTATAAAGCCATTTATAACTCTGCCCCAAACTACATCACAGATCTTGTCTCTAAATATCACCCAAACCGTACTCTCTGCTCCTCGCAATACCTCCTACTCTCTAGCTCCCTTGTCTCCTTTTCCCATGCTTGTCTCCTGGACTTCTGCAGAGCTTCCCCCATCCTCAGGAACTCTCTACCCCAATTTATCAGACTATCGCCTACTCTGACAAATTTTAGGCAATCTCTGAAAACCTATCTCTTCAGGGAAGCCTATCCTGCCCTCAGCTAATACTGGAATCTTCTACTCATCCAACCAGTTCATCCCCCACAGTTACTACCTTTTGTACCACTAGCCCCTCCCTCCTGGATTGTAAGCTCCAAGGAGCAGGGCCCTCAAATCCCTCTTGTATTGAACTGTATTGTTGCTGTATTGTCTCCCGTTATATCGTAAAGTGCTGAGCAAACTGTTGGCACTATATAAATCCTGTATAATAATAATATTAGGTGTATAGTTGAATAGGGAATATCACACCGAACAAATCAAGGTCATACATGACTATGTTAGCACATTCGAAAGGGGAGAAAGCAGTCTGTTCCCTCCTGGGTGACAAAGGTACGCTGTGTTTGGTATCCCTGGGTTCAAAATATAATTCTGAATAATAATCTGCCAGTCACTAGAATAGCACCTGCACGTATTGGAAGTTGTTAATATTAGTATGAAACTGCAGTTGGGACTTGGTCATAAATTTGGTGACCTCCTAGTACCCATCCCCTAAACTGGATGATTGGTCAGTTGTTCTCAGGCGACACCTCTTTGACACACTAGAAAAAGGATTGACTGGATCTACTAAGGGAGCTTTCGTTAAACATCAGCCAAGAAACATCTTAACAGACTTGAGAGCCAAGGCAATGTTTTTGCTTGGACAACTGGACTCTGCTAAACCAGAACTTTGCAAGTATTCTGTCTTCTCAACTCCTTTCTTTTATTTCTCTGTTGCATACTTTGTTTCTCTTTATTTCTTTGTAACATCCCTTTCTGTAAATATTTTAATTGCTCCATTTTGACCTTTTTAGTAATAAACCCTATTTTGAAAAGTTTTGAAACGATCTCTAAAGCTTTTAATGCAAACTAAAGAATCCCTGTCTCTTGAAGAGTGCTACTGTATATACTTTTCCTCTGAATATATCTGTCTGTGGTGACAGTGTGTGTTACAGGCGTTTATTGTTCACATTTGTTCTTTCTAACATTTTGAAGGGTTGATGGGTCCAAAGCTATCTGGTGGCAGTTTGGATTTTGAAGAGTTAATTGCGTAATTAACCTGACCCAGGGACAATCGCTCTCAGGCTGCTGACATAGATTGTGGTCCCACGAGCTGGAAAATCTTTGTGCAGGGTAAACCTGAGAGTGGCATTGTTGCGCCAGTGACAGCACGTGACAGATTGGCTGGTCCTTTGTAACGAGTTGGTGAGAAGTGCAGGGGTTGGGCACCACATTCGTCACAATACCCAGTAAAGTAACAGGCCTCAGGTGATACACATATATAAAACAAATTCTCCTACATAAGTTGTACCTGTTTATCTGCTGTATTCTCTTCTCTACATCTGTTCAAAGTCCAGAATTTATAAGGCTTGTCTGACCTCTTAGAAAACAGGCGGGGAGCTGAAATTGCACACTGCAGAGCTCAGTGATTGGAGGGAAGGGACACACCCCTATTCACACAGCTCACAGTAACAGAGCTGAGGCTGTCAATCAGCTGAAGGTCCCTCCCCTGTCACCATTTTTCTCTTGGTGTTGGGAAAACCTGTCAAAAGTGATTCATGCAGGTGGAGGAGGAATGAAGCAGCAGACAGAAATGACAGTTAATGCTCTGGATTGAGACAAGTATATACTATAGAGGGATATGATTTGTTCATATTTCATGCCTGAGCTTTACAACCACTTTATGTATTTCTGGGGTCAGCTGTAGCACATAGTGGGACCGGGTCACTCAACACGTTTCACAAATATTTAACCTGCTTCCTCAGCAGAAATGGAAAAAAAAAAATATATTAAAGAAAATGCTCAGAAGCCAATTGGTTGTACCCACAGGCTAAAAATGTGGGGAGATCACAGGGGACAAAGGGGGGATCTGGGCCAACTGTGTAGGGTTACAATGATCCTGTGGGGAAAATACATAAGTGATAGCTCCACAGTGCTACTTTAAGTGACCATCTTTGCATAGACTGTTAAATAGAGAATGACCTTTGCAAGATATTGGTAAAAAGGTCTAAAGAAGCCATTCTGTTCAACAAAGTTTTGGATCCAAATCCACTGGCCACCAGATGCCAGGGTCCCCCATTTGGAAGGAGGGAACCGGCCCATAATAGTACAAATTAAAGAATCTGTTTTATGTTTTAAGGGTTCATTGACACCATTGATTGACTTCAATGGGTGGGGGGTGTAGGGTGGGGGTGGGGGGGGGGTGGGGGGGGGGGGGGGGGGTAGCAAAACCCCATGGTTGATCTACAGTTTTACTGCCCCTTAACTGCTCCCCTTTTAGCTGCAGAGGCAGCAGGGAAGTGCACACCAGCTGTGGCAGGAATGATACCCTCTGTCCCTTTCAGCAGATGCTACAGCCCACCAATCCCAACGCATTCAAGTAAGTGGGGCCACTCTGCAACCTCCCCACAACCGCGTGCATTGTGGTGTGCTAGTGCGGGGTCCAAAGGGTTAAAGCAGGCCTCCTCACCACCTGCCAAATGCTGTCTGAAGGGCAATGCATATGTGGATAGCTCTTCAGACCGTCTCGTTATATGATTATTGTGGCTTTATAGTCATTTGGGGTTGTGATTTCTTGGACCATTTTCAACCCTTGATATTGGTTTTCTTCCGTTGGTTATTCTACATGGAATTAGTAACACCTTCGCTTTAGAACATGTTGACTTAAGAGTCAATTTACTATAATATCATGCAGATGACATTTTTATTACTGGCATCTGCTAGTTTTTGTAATAAAAAAAGAATGTATTCAAGTAACAAGGGGCCCGTTTTAGGGCTTTATGGCGCATTACTGCACATATGTTAACATGCCTACATTGTGGTTAAAGTGTATATCTGGTTAAAAAAAAAAAATCAGTACTGTGCAATACATATTTCCCAATGTTTTATCCGGGTAAAAATGCTGCAAGAACTGAAAAATACCAGAAGAATTCCAGGTATGGCATTTTTATACCTAGTTACATTGTTCCAGCTTAAATTGGTGTAGCTATGCATATACCATATAGTGTGATGGACGTTGCACACCACTGGCCCAGCATGAGATATGATGTAGAAACAGCCTCAGATTCTTCTAGGCCACGCCCCCTGACGCAATTCACGCTGCTTTAGGGCGAAACTCTGGGGCAGGGCGAAAAGTGTCAGATCTTGAGGGTTACCATGAGTATGCAATTGTGGGATCTCTCTAGAAGCTGGAGGTCTTTGTAGTAGACACCACTACTCCGGTGATCTTCATTAGCTTTCGGGTCCTGTGCTGAGCAGCTGCCCTCCTGCATTGTGAACATTTGAGTTTGGCTGCTCGGCATGGGCAGACCATTCAGAGAATGCAGAGAATAGCTTCAAACATGCTTTGCACAAGCATAGATCTATACTCAGACAAAAAAGTTAACAAAAAAAAACACAACCAAAAAATGATACCAAAAAAAAATGGGCAGGCTTGATTTTTTTTTTCTGCTGTCACTTTTCTATGTGTCTATACTTGGCATTTTCTCAATGCATGCAAAGCATTCTCTAATTGGACAAGGTGGAGAGGCGAGGTTGTGACATCATACTTTCCACCCGATCCATGGCTTGTAGTGAAGAGTAGTTGATATGCTGTACATTACCTGGTGTTTGGCAGCACAGTGGCTAAATGGTTAGCACTTCCACCTGGCAGTACTAGGGTCATTGGTTCAAATCCCAGCCACGGCACCTCCTGGCTGGAGTTTGCATGTTCTCCCTGTGCCTGCGTGGGTTTCCTCAGTCTACTCCAATTTCCTCCCATACTTCAAAGACATGCTGGTGGGTTAATTGGATCCTGTCTAAATTGCTCTAGTATTTGTATGTATGAATGTGAGTTAGGGATCTTAGATTATACACCCCTTGAGGGTTAGGGACTGATGTGAATGTACAATATACATGTAAAGCGCTGCGTAAATTGACGGCTCTATATAAGTACCTGAAATAAATAAATAAACAAAAAAAAAAAACCCCACAAACAAACAAAAAACGATACCAAAAAAAATGGGCAGGCTTGATGGGTCTTTTTTCTGGTGTCACTTTTCTATACTTTGCATTTTCTCAATGCATGCAAAGCATTCTCTGATTGGACAAGGTGGAGAGGCGGGGTTGTGACATCACACTTTCCACTCCATTCATGACTTGTAGTGAAGAGTAGATATGCTGTACATTACCTGGTACCCTGAAGAAGCTAGCACTTGTACCTGCATTTGTATCCATTAGTTTGTCTATCCTGCACAGTCAGTTTACCGGGAGGATATTTCAGATAAGCCCTTCTGCAGCATGGGAGTTGACTTTTAGGGCACGTTCACACTACAAAATTGCACTCCAGATGCATTCCGGATACGTTTTTGCTTACAGCTCACACCACCACACAGTTCCAGTGCAGCTTTGATGCAGTTTGCAATGTTCCAGAAAAAATGCAGCACGTTCTCCTTTTTTTTTTTTCCACCTGAAACTGACTGGAACTGACTGCACTAGTGTGAACCAGGGCCATTGGAATACATGGAAAATATTGTGCATGCATTTTTGATGTAGAAAAAAAAAACCCCACTGGACTACATCTAGTGTGAACTGGCCCTTACTGTCCTGATTTAGACATACACACAGCTGTAGTGAAGTGAAAGATGGCCATGGACAAAAATACATACATTTCTTAACAAACATTGGCCGATCATAAAGCGTACTCCTTTCACAGAAGTGATTGCTCGTTTTGCTTTAGCTTTTTTTTTTTGTTTTTTTTTTTTTTTTTTTTATCATTGTGTTAGTTCTTTAGGGGCCCATTCACACCAGATGTAGTGGGATGCATTTTTGCCTGCACTCTACTACATGGGCAGTCTAAAATCCAGGTTATCCTATGGGCATAGTTCACACTATTGCACTGCAGTGAAAAAAAGTACAAAAAGCTGTATATTCCTACACTGAAAATGCATAGAAACGCACATAAATGCTCACAAATGCACTGCAATACATTGAAGTGCACATAAAAGCTCAAAAAAGAAGAAAGTGAACTCAAAGGAAATGCAAGCATAGGAAAAATGCACCAAAAATGTGCGTAAAAAAGTGTCGAGCACCAAAAAAAAACCACTCAGTAAATGCACAGATTCTTGTATGAATGAGCCATAAGGTAGAAACTGCACATCTACTGCACATTTATTCTTTGCACGGTTGCATTCAGTTGACGTGCATTTTTCTATCTGCATTTGTACTGTGAAGTCGATTCACGCGTGTACCATGTGCATTTTTGCACGATTGCTATGTGGAAAAATGCAGCATGCTCTACTTTTTTTTTTGACTGCACTGCAATGGTGTGAACAATGCCCATAGGAAAGCCTGGATTTTGGACCGTCTGTGCAATTGGAGTGCAGAAAAAAAAGAATGCATCTCACTGCACCTGTTGTGAAAGGGCCCTAATCTAATAAATTCTAAAAACATTTTTTTTTTTTGTTTTATATTTGTAAATCGTATTTTATGATGAAAATATGTTTCTTAAGAATGTTTTATATTCTGGATTTTCCTCTTTTCTCATTTTGTCTGCAGCATCCAAGAAAAAATATCCTTTGTAACATCTTTTTTTTTTTTTTTTTTTTCCTTTCAGGTGGGTTCACATTGTATGTGCTCTTTATGTGCCTGGTGTGGCTTTCGGGGATATTGACAAATTGCGTCCAGTGACACTAACGGAGATGAACTATTCCAAGTATGGTGCCAAGGTAATTACTATCAGGGCTGTGAGTTAGGACTGCGTGCAAGGAACACACAACAGGAGACCCCACCTATATAAGGGCCTTGTCAGGTTTGCAGATGTTGAAGCTGATCTCCAGCTTTTAGTGAACTAAACTGGTCCAAATTAACTATTTACGTCTGTTGGATTTTTGAAACACATATAATACTTCTTTAGTGTCTTGAGGCGATTATGAATGAAAGAGCCGTTTGAAATAAAAAATAAAGTGTGATTTTATTCTATCACACAATGGCTTAAAATAATGTAAAGCGCATCATCAACTGGTCCATGTACATAAAACCAGAAATATCAAGCAGAAGTTTAAAGATGTATCACCATTATGTCCGTTGTCTGGTGTGCTTCTTTCATGTCTTGTTTGTCCTTCAGAGTCTTTGAGAAGAAGTCTGAACTAGACGGGAGAGACTAATTCTGGTCTTACAGCACCTGTTCCAGCTTCTCAGAATGTTCTTATGCATGTCTGTGTGGACAGACGTGTGTATATGAGTATGAGTGTGTGTGAGTGTGTGTGTGTGTGTGTGTCTTTTTAGAGACTGTCCCTTATGGTCCTTTTATGAAGCAAGTAAGCGTCATAACTTGTGATCTTAAGGCCTTGTAGGGGAATCAATACTGCTTAGCAAAGCAGTTTCATTGAAGGGAGGGGACGCTACATATATGGTGTTTTGATTGACAGGCACATATGTAACGACCATAATAAGCTGGTGATGTAACCTCAGCTGCTCATATTAATATAATTTGAATGTATCTTTACAACATCTCAAAAATTAACCCAACTTATAAATCAAACTAAATACACGCAGATACTATTAGAATACATTGTAATACTTATTGTATTTTGGTTACTTCTAACACCCTTGACATATTACACTAGAGTCCTCTAACCAGCTATGCCCTAATATAGAATACTCAGCTGGTTAATTCAGCTATCTCCAGTCTCAACTTATATCTGAAGAACTTAACACTATCATTTGTTAAAGGCCATTCACATATATTAATATTATGATTAATTATAAAAACCAAATATTTTGCAAGCTTGCCATCAATATAAGTGCTGAATTTATTACATTTGGTAAAATTAATTTCTTCAACTTCACTAATACATGTGGCCCGTGGGAGCATTCTATACACCAGGGTTTCCCACACCAGGGTTCTATGGAACCCTGGGATTCCTCCAGAGGTTGCAAGGGGTTCCTTGAGCAATGAGCAATTTTCTGCATCTCAGATAAGTTCCCACTGACACCATTGATCTTTTTAGCTATGTGTAAGAGGGTGATTCTTCCCAAAGTGTAAGAAGCATTGTTCTCAGTGACCATCACACAAATATATCATGAGTTGCAGACACGCATTAAATTTTTAGCAGGGGTTCTCTGAGACTGGAAAGTTATTTCAAGGGTCCTCCATGTTGAAAAGGTTGAGAGAGGCTGCTATACACTGTATGCAGCATCCGCTACATACAGTATACAGCACTATCTTCTGGCAGCACAATGGGAACTTCCCGTCCCACACCCGTAACAAAATTGAGTCAGTATGAGCTCTGCTCAGCCATTCACAGAGAGCTTTGCATTTCTGAATGAATAAAAAAGCTTCTTTTGATTGGCTGGGGCAGAGAGGAAGGGTGTATGATGTCACAATCTCCTCCTCAGCCATTCATCAGAGGAAGCTTTGTATTCATTCAGAAAATACAAAAGCTCCCTGTGAATGGCTGAGCAGAGCTCGTACTGAATTTTGTTCCGAGAGTGAGATGTGAGGTCCCCAATGTGTTCACAGAACACAACGCTGTATACAGTATATAGCTGATGCTACATACAGCGTATACAGCACTCCCAACAGGTGAATGTATTACTGAAAGAACAGTCTGGATAAAAGCGCACAGATGTGTCCCCAAAGGAAATAAGTGAATGGTATATGTCAACTGTGATTGGTGGGGAAAAAACTCACTGCTGCCATGGGTAAAACACATCGGTTTGTGGGAAGTATGAACAGGAGCCAGGTGCTGTGTAGTTTTGGGATAAAAGCTACACCTTATATGGAGGTGTGATTCATATGGTAAAAAATAAATAACCAGCCTGTGGCTTTAAGAAGCCAGGTTCCAAGATGGACAGCCCGTTCCGCTCAGAGGGAACCAGTGGAGAGTAGAATACCTGTCAGTGCAGGGACCACGTGTACCCGACGTCCCAGCGTCCTGGATGACGTCACCACGATGTGTGAGATGAGACGGAGACTCTTTGGAGCCGCAGCTTTAGAAGGAAGAGGCCGGTTGCCGGGACAACATGTTTCGCGCACATGCGCTTTATCAAGTGTCGAATGTATTACTGAAGTAAATAGTTCAACATGGTCCTAATGAACTATTTATAGTATATTAAAGCTAGAAATCCGCTTTATATATTTTTTTGGCTGTCGAGAAATATCTTTAAAAGTTTTTGTACCCAGAGTTCACTTTAACATTTGTGCTTTTCAAGTGATGTCTGCGCTTACAGCAGATCTGTCCTCAAAACCGTACATACAGAATTTCTCAAAATGAGCTCGATGGATCCCTAGGGTTCCTCCAGAGGTTGCTAGGGGTTACCTGAGCAATGAGCAATTTCTGCATCTCAGATAAGTTTTCACTGATACCATTGATCCTTTTCGCTATCTATAAGGGGTTCATTCTTCCCAATGACCACAAGTGTAAGGAGTAGTCTTCCCACTGACCGTCACACTAATGTATCATGAGTTGTAGATAGTCATTTTTAGCAGGGGTTCTCTGAACCCATAAGTTTATTTCAAGGGTTGAAATGGCTGCTATATATTGTCATGTTAAAGAGGTACTGTCACTTTGTTAATTCAGGGCAAACTGACAGGGTCTCCTGATAGCCCTATCCTCAACCCAATCATGCTCCTTTTGTTGCTTTCCCATTCCTTGCTAAGGAACAAAAACTTTCATTAAAAGATATTTCTCAACAGCCAAAAATATACAAATCCACTTTGTGTGCACCAAATGCCTTTGCAAATAAGATATTATCTTGTAAAAGTAGCAGTGACATCAGCAATGTGCTGTACATAGCTAATGCAGAGAGCAGAGTTGTGGGAGGGGCCCAACAGGCTCCACCTACTGCAGGATCCCAGGAAGGGGCCAAGACAAGACCAGTCACCCTGCACAAGGATGAGAGAGCAGCAATGAGCAGTCTTTATTACAGGAGGGAAAGTCTCACACTGGATTACTGTACAGATCTGCAAGAAATACGCAAAGAGCGCCAGATTCAAGGAAGAATACCCGTGCCTCTTTAGATGATAGTGGAGTATCCTGGAGTTCAGCTTTAACATTTCTTCATCTACCAAATGCTAAAATATCTATTTTGGGTGGACAGGCCCTTTAAAAAATGTGCATGATTAATAGATCTATTGGAAGTAATCCTGTTTCATTTGGTGTTGGTTTTTTGGATAAATCCACTTAATCCGCTGGCTGTGTGTTTTTTTTTTTTTTTTTTTTTTCTTTTAATGGAAGCTAGACTTCAATAAACTTAGCTAGCGCTCGGAATTTCATACAGTGAATTAAGTTTGCGGTAAGTGGAAAGCCATGTTCTCTGTTCTGCAGGAATGCAGCTTTTGTGAAGATCCGCGATTTGCCCGCACCGGCGTCTGTATCAGTTGCGATGCAGGGATGTGTCGCTCCTACTTTCATGTGACTTGTGCCCAGAAGGAAGGCTTGCTTTCTGAAGCCGCCGCCGAAGAGGTAAATTAATAGACGCACTTCTTTTTGAAGATTGCTTATGAAACTATAAGCGGAAAAAAAATAAAATATACACTTTATATCCACCCTGATAAAAAAAAATGAAGCAGGGTCCTAGTAAAGGGGGAAAAAAGCGATGTAGTAATAGGAAGTGTTGAGTGTGTTTAATTGAGATGAAAGGACATTGAAATGGACTGATCTCAGCTGCTGTATTTTTCATTTTGAATGTGTAACTATAATTTTAGCGTGGAAAAAAATGGTAAACTGAGAGCAGTAAGCGTCTTAAAGGGGGTTGCCTCTAAAATTCTACACAGTGGTGATAAATGTAAAAAAAAAAAAAAATTTTTTTGATGATACAGCATCTGCCCTTTGCATATACTGTTAGCCCTACCTCTAGGACAGGGGTATCAAGCTCAGTTTCATTGAGGGCCACATCAGCATCATGGTTGCCATCAAAGGGCCATTTATATCAATAAGACTAGATGTCCAGAGCACCCAACCCCCCCCCCCCCCTTCTTTATATCAGGTGTCAAAAGAAACCCCCCCCCAATAATAAAGCCCCCCCCATAATTAGAGGTAAAGAGTCCTCCACCCTCTCTTACATCACAATGCACCCCCCTTACCTTGTGCTGCGGCCAGGAAGAAGCTGAGGGCCGAGCTGGGAAGCAAAGTGCAGGGTCTGGAGGAAGACCGGAGGAGGACTGGAGGCAGCTGCTGTATTTGTTAAATGCTGAGACTGGGGAGGCAGAAACGAGGGGGTGCTGTGCCTGCACAGAGAGGCGCAGGATCTGTAGGGAGGAGTTTTGTACTGACTGCTGAGATGGGGAAGGGGTGGAGGCAGAGATGAGTTTCTCCGCAGCTGGACAGAAATCTGGTGAAGGAGTTCTGTCCTCCTTTTTGCTGCCAACTGCTGGGATGAGGGGTGCTGCAAGAGAGGTGCGAGGGCCACATTCTGCCCAATCCAGGCTGCAGGCCTTGTGTTTGACACGTGCTCTAGGAGGTTAGACTGTAGGCAAAATCAAAGAAACAGGCCACCTAGTAGCCATATCCCGTCACACATGAACAAGCCTAGTTTAGCTTAGTGTCCCCAGGAGGTAGGACGTCGTCCTTCAGCTCTGCTGGCTCAAGATGATAAACTGTGGGAATCTTCTGTTTCACCAACTGCTGGTAGTGTAATTATGAACCCTCAAATCCCGAATATTTCTATCCTTTCCTTCTCATTACTCCCAGATCCAGATATTCCTTGCAGAGGCCATTCTCAAGCTCATTGTCATTCTGCACCCCCCAATTTCAATTTTTTGCTCATTCTTTGTCACCATTTTGTGGTGAGTAGGCTGTTTAGAAAGTGGTCTGCTGTGTTCTGCAAGAACAAAAATTAAATATATTGCAGCTTACCAGTCTGATGTGGTGGTCACGTTTTTTTTTTTTTTTTTTTTTTTTTGTAATTCAGGCTTTTTTTTCCTTTTTTTTTTCTTCACCTGACCATCCTGCCAGTATCAATTCCTTTACTAGGGAGACAACACTTACTCACTGTACTGTGTTTGTAAAGAAGCAGCATTGTGATCCTAAGACAGGAAGTGTGTTAGGACTACAAAGCACCTCCACCTCTCCATTTACATAACATAGGATGGGATTTTTCTGTGGTGCACAGAGGAGCGCTCAGGCAGGGCTGGTAATACTGCTTGAAATTTTAGTACAGCACAGAAAATGTTGTCGGCTTACAGCAGGAAGTTACAAGCTCAAAGCATTCTGATACAGTAACAGCTTAGTTCTGCACATTGCAGGAGAAGGTCAGGGCAATACCTGGGCTCAGTGGAAGTGAGTTGAGTAATGCTAGCTGTCAGAATGAGTGCATCTAGTGGCAGAATGTCACCGGCTCTCTGCTCTGCCCCTCCAACGCTTACTGGAGTGCCAAGCTGTGGAGGGGGCAAGAGGGGCTGGCTCAGGCTCTCAGTGGTGCGCTGAGAGGCTGAGCCAGTTGCTGATCTTATTGGATCCTGACTTTTAACGTTGGGATCTTTCCAGAACCTGGACCAGCGAGTTACATCAGCCGACAGCAGACTTTAGTCTGCTTGGGCTAAATATGGGTCTCAGAACAAAGTGCACTTCTGTGATCCATAGGAGCAATGGGGCCAGAAGAGCTTTGGCTGTACTTCTACTTTAAGTTCTGATTTAAAGTGGTTCTAAATCTCAGACATGAAAACTGACCAAAGCACATATTTCTATGTTTGCTTGCCCCTCTCTAGAGCACTAAAGCCGACCATAGATGATTCCCTCATCAGCACTGACTGTTCTTCCCTCCTGCCGAGCTATTGTGTTCTCCTGGTGGGGAGGTGCAGAATGGAGCCAGCTATAGCTACTGGCAATAATCACATAAAAATCCCAACAGGCTGGTGTCACAAAAATATATATGTATATAAAGACACAGCAAAGAGATAATTAGGAAGGAAAGTACAGGCTTAAGTTACTTGCCCTTAGCCTGGGTTTGCAAATCCAAGATGCAGAGCAGGGTGATTCCTTAGTCTCCTTTTGGTTACGATGTTCAGCTAAGGAGATCTGTTACATTCTACTCACAGGCTTGACTCTTCTTTTTGAAAAGTCCCTCTCAAAGGGGAGGGGGGGCTCTGACTACACGTTTTGGGAGTGGTCATTGGGAAACTAAACTAACTACCAGCTTCATATCCCATGATATGAACCATACAGTTGACCTGAGGAATGTGCAATTACTCTGGTCAGTTTGATAATGAGTGGGCTTACATAGGTTTGGGTGACAAAAGTTACACCTCAGCAGACGGCCTGGCTCCAATCTCAGATGTCTTAGCCTGGTTGTCCCACACCATCTGTCAGGAGATAACGTTTGCCTCTCAGGGCTGGAAAAGGGGGTAGGGAATGAGGGCTGAGAAATACCTCAAATAACAGAAAGGAACACGAAAAAGAAGAACTCCGCTTCCAGCTCTGATGAGCTAGTTTGTTACAGCTGGTTGTACCCAATTTGCACCACAATCGAAGTAGGTACAATCAACCTGCCCATAGATGGTTCCAAACTCAGCTGGTCCCTGCTGAACCGGCTGAGATTAGAACAATCTATGGCTGGCTGTTTAGGCTGTAGTTCTGTGGACCACAGGAGTGCAGTTCGTTCTTCACTCCTGTGACCCGTTTTCAACTGACAGCAGATTAAAGCCCGCTGTTGGCTGACGTCACTCAGCCGGTGCAGGTTGGGGAAAGATCCAGACTTTAAAGTTGGGATCCGCTCCCGAGAGCCTGTGCCAGCTGCTCCCCCTCCTGACAGTCACTGCTCTCTGCTCAGAGAGGCTGTGAGAACTCAGCGATCATGTGATCCACCTAGGTAGTATAACTTGCCAATAAAAACCAAAGCCATACCTGTCTTTTAAGTGTCTTTTCTCTCTGCTTTCTATCTCTTATGCTTTCAGCATGAGTCACTTCTGACAAGTTTACCTGACACCAAGAGCTAAAAAGATGGCAGGGAAGGGAGCTTCAGCACACAGCTTGTGATTCACAGCCTCAGATTTTTTCCTGTGTGCTGTTTGAAGTTGGTTGTGTCCGTTCCCTCCAATCAGCTCTCAGAGTTCTCGTACAGTGTCTTTACTGCAGCTCCCTGTCCCCTGATTCTGTGAAAAATACTTTTAATCTCTGAGTTTTGCAAGGACATACAGGAGAAATTGCTGCATTATGTATGTATACATAAGGATTTACACCCACTTTAAGTCTAATTTATTGTCAATGCATAATGATCTATTAACATGGCTCCAGATCTCACAATTTCTGCACAGGTATTACTCTGTTATGTAGGGAACAGTAGGGCAATGATCCCCTGGCTTATTCACATGGAGACAGAGGTCCATAAAGTGTGAAGAAGGCAATTGTTTACGCAGCCGAGAGGAATCTAGGAGTGACGTGTTGTGTGTACGTCCTGTACAAATCAATGATGGTGCGCTGAATGCTGCTGACCATCTAAATATTTACATGCATCCAGGGCAATTTGCCCGCCCCTGTACATTTGAATGAGCCTTAACCACTTCCTGACCGGATGTTTTTTATATAAACGGCCGGACGGTGGCACTGCAGGGTCGGGTGGCCGTTTATAAACGGCCTCCCCGCACCCTGCTTGTGCGCGCTCCCTGGGAGAGCACAGCACCGCGATCCGGTGCCCGCTGTGTCCTCCGGACACAGTGAAACATCGATCGTCGGACGGGACCTCTGTATGAGGTCCCAATCATTTGATCACTGATTGGCCAATCAGTGATCACATGCAAAGTAGTATGCAAGATGTCACTTCTGACATCATTGCTTACTACGTGTGAAATCTGTGAATGATCACAGAGGTCACATGGTACAAGACTATTCACAACAGCCTTGTACCATGTGACAAGCTGCGACCAATAACAGCTCACTCAGTACTTCTCAATGAGTGCAAGAATGCAGCCAGAGAGGAAGGAGAAATGATTGCTTTTACATCCTATACGGGTGTAAAAGCAATCAGTGTAAAAAAAAAAAAAATCTTCATCACCCCCCACAAGTAGTACAGTGTCACCATGGTGACACTGTACTGCTAGAGTGACAGTATGTTAAAAAAATAAATAGGAAAAAAAAAAAAAATAAAAATGTAAAAAAAGTTTGAAAATTATAATTTTTGGTCATAAACTAATTTGGCTTATTTTTTTTTTTTTACTAAAAAGATAACGGAATAAATTTTGGCCAAGATTTATGATTAAATATTATTTATTTGCAAAATTGTATAAGAAAAACACTTTTTTAAAAAATTTTCATTTACATAGCAAAAAAAATTAAAATCCCAGCGGTGAATAAATACCACCAAAATAAAGTTTTGTCTGTCTCAAAAAAATGGTAAACAATTCATATGGGTACAGTGTTGCATGACCGTGCAATTGTCATTCAAGGTGTGATGGCGCTGAAAGCTGAAATTTGCCCTGGTCAGGAAGGGGGTAAAAGTGTCCGGACTTTAAAGTGGTTAAAAGTGATCCAGACTGAGGCGGAGGCACACTTTATTTGAAATGTATCACGCTTTATAAGTCATATTAATATTTCCGGGATTTCCATTTTCCATTTAAACCTCATTGAGTTTTGTCTTTCTTTTACAGGATATCGCGGATCCATTTTTTGCTTACTGCAAGCAGCACGCCGACCGCTTTGACAGAAAATGGAAAAGGAAGAATTATTTGGCTTTGCAGTCGTACTGTAAAATGTCCTTAAAAGAGCGAGAAAAGCAGCTCACTCCAGAAGCCCAGGTATTAATTCCATTTTCTGTGATGATGCCTTATAGAATGAAGGCACAGCCTACCCACCATTGCAGATTTAAATATAGAGCGAAGGTCATTTAATTCAGCTGGGAGTCGTAATGTTTACCTTTGATCACAATCGCTTTGAACCTGAGAATGTTTGGTCTGCATAAGATTACAAAGGCTTCATTAAACCTGTGAAGTCTCTGCATTTTATATAGGTAGCCACCAAAGTGTTATTTGCATTGGATATTCGTATGTCCTGTCCTTCATTTCTTCTCTGATTTGTAGCTGCATGATGGCTTAGTGGTAAGCACTCTTGCCTTGCGGTACTTGGGTCATGGGTCCAATTTCCATAAAAAAACACCCCTGGTGTGGAGGATGCGTATTTTTGTCTTTCTGCGGATTTCCTGTCACCGATCCAGTTTTCACCCTGCAGCACAAAACATTCTGGTTACAAGCTTCTGACCTGGTTGTGTAGTCAATATTTATAGTTCATAAAACCCGTATTTTCTGAGATCATTTTACTGTCGACAAGTTCTATAAATGTTTGAGGCATCTTTAAAGTGGAAAGCCCCCACCCAAGCACCACCATTGTGACTCATGCGCAGAAGATGTGCCAGCCTTTGGATCCTGGCAGAGCCGGTCGGCTCATCTGCGCATGTGCAGGTGATATTCCATGCATGTGCAAAGACAATAGACAATGAATGTTTCAGACATCCCTGCTAAGAGTCTTTGCAATTTCACCCTGTGTGCGCAAATGGGCACCCTGTGTGCGCAGATTTGCCGCAGGGCTCAGCAGCATTTGCATTTTCCAGCGATCACCAGCTCTTCTTACAGTTTGTGTTTCTCTTCTCTTTGCATTACTGTGGCTGGAGATGGCTGTATGACACTGCAGGTTCACCATAGAATCACATTCTTCTAGCAATTCACAAACCTCTTTTAAAGTGGTTCTAAAGCTAAAACTTTTTTTTACCAAAATGCACTCCCTGCATTAAGTTAAAAAACCTTTTAGGATTTGCTGTGCCCCCCCTCCAAACGCCTACCTCACTCCTGGATCGATCCATCCCAGTGCCCAGTCTTCTCTCCTTTCTCCCTCTTCACACAGGGACTGACCAGCAACAGGGGGAGTCATTGCATCATGTTACTGTCGGTCAACTTCAGTGAGGGGGGCGGGGATGAGCTGCACTGAATGCTCCTATAGACTTGCATAGTTCGGCTTGGGATCGAGCCCATAGGAGTGCCCCATATCAAGCGGCTTGCTATGGGGGCACTTGGAAAAGAGGAGCAGCGACGAGTGCCGGCGGGGGACCCCAGAAGAGGCGCTTCACAGGGCAAGTAAGTATGACATGTTTGTTCTTTTGAAAAAAAACAAAAAGAGGAGCCTTTACAATTACTTTAAATGTTAACTTTTTTTCCAATTTCAGGCTCGCATATCCACCAGATTACAGCAGTACCGTGTAAAGTCAGAGCTTGCCCGCAACACCAGGCCTCAGGCTTGGGTTCCCAGGGAGAAACTGCCCCGGCCACTCACCAGCAGCGCCTCTGCTATACGGAAACTGATGCGCAAAGCAGAACTTATGGGGATCAGCACAGACATCTTCCCGGTGGATAACTCTGACACCAGTTCCAGCGTTGATGGAAGGAGGAAGCACAAGCAGCCGGCGCTGTCCTCAGACTTTGTAAATTATTACCTCGGTAATTGGCCTTTTCTTTTAGCCCCATTAGAAAACTATTTCAGCTTTATATAAGAGACTTCTTTTTTTTTTTTTTTTTTTTTTTTTTTTTTTATTTACATTCAAGTTGGAGTAACATTGTCTACTTATAGCCTGCCACCCCACCAGGTCCAATCCATTCGCTGCTCCATCTGAACCCTTGTATTGTTACATTGGGAACATGTGACCTCCTCAGCAGTGAGGGAACACTGGGTGGAGTGAGAAAGTAGGCTGTCAACAGACACCGTCACTTTGTTCCAGCGGGGCAGGCTTTCACTTTGCCCTGAAGAATGCTTTACTGCAGCATACTGCAATGCATTGCATATGTGCATGCCAATTCATGAATGGAAACCCAATGCATCAGCACCGCAGCGCAGCAGAAAGCATGATGTGCATTGCTGCATGCTGCAATGAGAAGAATAAGACAGAAGTGATTTAGGGCTAAACGGGGGCGGACTGACAACTCATGGGGCCCCCGGGCAATAGGGGATCATGGGGCCCCTGTGTCCTTGCCCAAACTCAAAAAGCCTATGAAAAAGGTACCAGGGGCATCTCATGGGGCCCCCTACTGACCCCGGGCCCTTGGACAGTGCCCGAGTTTCCAAATGGTCAGTCCGCCCCTGGGGCTAAACAACCGTGTATGCACATAACCTATCCCCACAGACATGTTTGCCTATACTGCCACACTCTCACTGCCTCCCCACACTCCTGGAGCCCTCAATAAAGGAGCAGGGCATCCAGGTATGAGGGGTTCTGTGACAGTGCTGAAGCCCAAGTGGCCAATCAGCAGACCAGTTACCACTGTCACATGAAAGTGCTGTCACATCATTCCCTCATCTAAGCTCTGGCACCACCTGACACTGCAGGATAGGCAAGTGAAGATGCTGTAGTGGGGAGATGGTGAGGAAGTATGGCCGTGGGGGGGCAGTATGATGATCAGGGGTGGTCTATGTGCAAATACTATCATTTTGCCACAAAACATGTTCACATTCCTGTCGCCCCTGTATATAAAATGTGTCTGAATTCCTGTTCCTATTTTAATTAAAGGCTAAGTGTATATTTAGGGGAAAAAATAATAAATGCACATATTTTTGCAGGAAAAATACTTCTACTTGAGCCTGCAAAGCATTGTACCTGTGATTGGCAGATCTCCGGTTCAGTGACAGGCCTCCTGCACACTCTGCCTCGAACTTTCTGCCTTTACCTCTGTATGAGCTTTCATTTAGAAAGCTGAAGGAAGTGTGAATGGACTACGAGTGTGCTGATTGGTGCACTTGTAGTCCAATGGAAATTACAAGCAATCTGCTGCAGCGGATTTGTAGTTCAATCATTCACAGATCGCTGTGAATGAATGATGCCGCTGTGGGGGATTGGGGACTCGGGGAATAAGGAGGGGTACTGGCAGGGGTGGACTGACCATTTGGAAACTCGGGCACTGCCCGAGGGCCCGGGGTCAGTAGGGGGCCCCTGGTACCTTTTTATCATAGACTTTTTTTTAGTTTGGGCAAGGAAACAGGGGCCCCATGATCCCCTATTGCCCGGTGGCCCCATGAGTTGTCAGTCCGCCCCTGGGTACTGGAGCATGTTATATGTTACACCCTAAGTATGGGTGTAACATGTTCTAGGAGGTGAAACTGTGTAAAAAAAAAAAAAAATGTTTTGTTTTTTTTTTTTTCTTCATGCCTCTAGAACGGAACCTGCGCATGATGCAGCTTCAGGAGAGTTTGTCTGAGCAGAAGAACATTAAGAACAAGCTGGAAAATGAACAGGAAAAACTCCATATTGAATATAACAAGGTGTGTACTTATCTGCGCTACAGAATAACCACTGTAAAATCTTTGAATCTACGAATTACATTTTTTTTTGGGGTCCAGACTTTGAGATATTGTTTACCGAAGCATTTCCCCATTTCAGAACCTCTTGAATGAGGAATGTGATCTTTAGTGCTGAGTTTTAGATTAGGCCTGTTTCCCACAGGCTTCAGCTTGTATAAGAGCAGTGTGAACAGCGAACTTTCTTGAAGCTTTTAAAGTACCATTTACCTCCAGTTTCTAATTGCTGAACACAGACCCTAATAGGAGTGCTGATTGCCACTGTAAACAAGCTGCTAGCAGGCTTCAGCCCTTTTTGAAGCTTGAGAGCCTGCTGAAGCATGCTAGCAGCTTGCTTTGAAAGGAAATCAACAATACTATTAGGATCTGTGTTTAGCATTTACAAAGTGGAGTTGAACGGTACTTTAAAAGTTTCAAGAAAGCTTGCTGTAAGCTCTGCCAATGATTTGCCAAAGTTTGCTGTTTACACTGCTCTTATAAAAGCTGAAGCTCATGTGAAACAGGCCTTATAGTTGTAGGAACCAAAGAGTAAATGTAATAATGCAGCAATATTAGATGGTCATAAAGCAATCAGATTGCTGACTGTAGTGGGTGGCTTTGGGATATTTGGAAAAACTATTGACTTTTAAAATAAACTTCAAACCCAAGAGCAAGTATCAAAAGATCACAAGTGTAATAAAAGCGCCACACCCTTAATACTTTAAAGCAGCAATTCCACCTCAAAGAAACCAAATAAATTTCTTAGTGCTATAACTTAAATAAAGGAATGCGCTAAAACCACAAACTATTCCTAATTTAGTGTAGAAACATTAGTGCAAAAGATATATATATCTATTCTCAATTAATATCAAAAAATATCAAAATTATGTGCAAAACTATTTTTTAGTGCATAAATAATTTAAATAATTAAATTTGTGAATATAAAAATTATCCAATTCTAAATTTCTTCAAATGTCCAAACAAATCCTTTTCAAATTCAGGTGCTCTCAAAGAAATTGTCCCAAAATCCACCACCAAAGTAAAGTTGGGTAACTCACCAGAGCTCCATGCTGATCAATCTCTAGATCAGCAAAAAACGCTTTTTGCTCTGGGAGCAGATGCAAAAATCAACTTCTCAGGTGTGATGATCAATAACTACACAATCATCCATAAGGTAGGTATCCACCACTCAATATAATGGTTCCAGGAGCATTATATCACTCTCTCTTTTTATATCTCTCCACCGAGGTCATGTTTGGGAATGAAAGAGAAAATCATGGTGCAGCCAGTTTTTTTTATAAAAGTATCCAACAATTTAATAAAGATTTACACTCACAAAAAGGGTGTCTTCACCGACACCAGTATAACAGCATAAAACAGCAAATGGTATAACAGTCTCCTGTTCCCCGCACACTCACTACAGCGCTCGTGACTCAATCCTCTCCACAGACGTCAGCATCCAGCAAGCCAAGCCCTACTAGTTTCGTCATGAATGACGTCTTCAAGGGGCGGTCTTATCTTATCCTTATCTTCAAGGGGCGGTATCAAAAGATGTCTGCTATTACCTTTTATTAGTCAGCCATTTCTGTGTCCCTGTGTGATAAAGTGCTACTTTGTTTCTGGGGCCAAGCTTTTCCTCACTAGGACTATTGGCAAAATTAAAAATCACACATATGTCTTGGCTTGTCATTGGAATTAACACAGCAGTTTTTTTTTTTTTTTCACAGCTAAGACTCTGCAATTAGCAAAGCTTATGTTCTAGCAGTGATTGTGTGTTGGACCACTGCAGAGGGGCCACTGCTTACACATAGAAAGTAGCAGTTGTTCTTTCTGCCTTGGGCTCAGTAAGGTATGCTGGTGCTTTAAATACTTATACAACAGTAAATCTTTTACAGATGTATGGTTTTAATGCATCCTCAATATAGATTAATCGTTTTACATTTACCATCAGTTGGGCTTTAAAGTGGAAGCAAACTCCCACTGGACACTTGTACCTACAGATGAGCTTATGATAAAGCTCACCTGTAGGTACAAGGAATAATCTGCTACACATGCACTGTTTAGGAGATATTCAGTGTCCTTGCAACTGACGACATCACTGGCGCATGCGCTCTGAAGGAATGGTGTACCCGTGCCGTTCCTTCAGAGCTCTGTGCTATGACCGAGACTCTCACGCACATGCGCGGGAGTGACGTCATCATGGCTTAGGCCAGTCAAGCGGTTAGAGCCCGCGAACCCGGAAGGAAGACCAGGTGAAGATGGAAGCCCTATCAGCAGTGACGGCGTGCAGCTGGAGGGCTTCGTTCTAAGGTAGGTTTTTCATAATGTGCTCTTATGTGATGCATACAAGCACATTGACATTATGTTGCAGGGGAAAGTTTTTTTTTTTTTTTTTTTTTTTTTTTTCCAATCTTTTTTTGGTGGTTTACTACCGCTTTAAGCTCTTACCCCTGGCTCCCATCAGCTCTTTAAGACATTGTAACACAAATTCAAGGTACACCGAACAGATTATGCTGGGTCATACAATATGCAAGGATGGCTGGACCACACAAGTTTCAACTTGTACTACATTGTGTCAGCCTGCCAAAGCCCGAAGGGACCCTACCACCCTCCTATAGAAAGAGCACTACCTCCCAAATACATTTCTCTTGTGCGAGGGAGATTATCAGTGGTCTTGTATGTCTTCCATTTTCTAATTATTGCTCCCACAGTTGATTTGTTCACACCAAGCTGCTTGCCTATTGCAGATTCAGTCTTCCCAGCCTGCTGCAGGTCTACAATTTTGTTTCTGGTGTCCTTCGACAGCTCTTTGGTCTTCACCATAGTGGAGTTTGGAGTGTGACTGTTTGAGGTTGTGGACAGGTGTCTTTTATACTGATAACAAGTTCAAACAGGTGCCATTGATACAGGTAATGAGTGCAGGACAGAGGAGCCTCTTAAAGAAGAAGGTACAGGTCTGTGAGAGCCAGAAATCTTGCTTGTTTGTAGGTGACCAAATACTTATTTTCCACCATAATTTGCAAATAAATTCTTTCCAAATCAGCCAATGTGATTGTCTGGATTTTTTTTTCTCATTTTGTCTCTCATAGTTGAGGTCTACCTATGATGCCAATTACAGGCCTCTCTCATCTTTTTAAGTGGGAGAACTTGCACAATTGGTGGCTGACTAAATACTTTTTTGCCCCACTGTACATTGTTGTTTGTAAACCTTATAATCAGCAAAGCTGATCTTCAGCTTTACTTTCACTTTAACTACTTAAAGTGATACTAAACAGAGAAGTGTTAATTGCCATAACTAATTCACATAACGCACATATATCATGCCATTGTATTTTATTTATTTTTTTTGCTGTTGTGTGCCCATGTGATCTTTCCCTATTCTTTGGTGTCTGCACAGAAAGGTCCTTGGGAAGGGCTTCTATTACCCTGATAATGTATGCTTTGCACAGTCTGAGTCTGTGGCTGCACAGCCGTGAATGTGTCTTACAGCTCCTTATAAATCTTTATTAAACATCAGATATGTGTTTTTCTGCATTAATATGGTGTAGGCGGAGTCAAAGATGATTGACACTAGCTTTTATTATGTTCTGACTGTTTCTGCTTCCTGGGCTCTTTTTTTTTTACTTTACAGTTATAAGCAATCACTTTTCATATATTTAATACTGGTTTATAGCAAAATGAAGCTTTTTTTTTTTTTTTTTATGTAAGTTTCTTAGTGAATGTAATCAATCAGCGTACTATATCCTGCCCCCATAGTGTTTAGCGATAGGTGGAGGGAGGGGAGTGTCATTTACCTTTGTGTATACACACACGTGTGACTAAGAAAAAAGGCCTTCATTCATAGCTTATTGTCTGGGGACTGCACAGATAAGAAAAAAGGAGGAAATTCATAGCTTAGAAGGGAACTGAAATATTAGCATGCTCAATAGGGGACACCAGCTGGTTGACACAATCTCAGGTTGCAGTGGGGCCACAGAGAAGATGGAGGGACAGCTTAAGGCAGGATCAACCAGGTATATTTCACTCTGCACAAAACGAGTTCTTTAGTGGCTTTGTGATTATGCACACTCTGTTATATAACATGTAATGAGAGTTTTTCATACTCTGAGGTTAATGACAATTTGATCTGGGGTAAGCTGGCCCAAGCAAACCAGTTCCTACATTAACAGGTGTGCCCACTGGGCGCAGTGTATACACTGTACGTAGCCTCCGCTGCATACTGTATACACCATTGTTTTTGTTTTTCCAGCTATGGGACTCGAGCTTCCCATCCCACACCTGAACCAATTTGGACAGGGCTAAGCACTACACTGCCAATCATAGACTGCTTTGTTTTTCTTGAATGAATACACAGCTTCCGAATCAATTTTGTTCATTTGTGGGATGGGAAGTTAGTGTCCCACAGCCAAAACACAGTGCTGTATACCAGCCTTTCTCAACCAAGGTGCCTTAAGGTTTCTTCAGGGGTGCCTTGAGGATTCTGCAGGGGAGCTGTGGCAAAATGTCTAAAAACAAATTGCCCAAAACTTGCACACAAGCCAGCGGGTGGAACAAGCCTGCCATTGTTTTTAGTTACAAAAAGCCATAAGTTTTCATTGGGCACCATTACGACCTTTCTAACCGCTGGCGTCCTGACAACCAGTGACATCAGTTGATAAGGAGGATATTGGGTGCCTGCACAGCATCCTAGTTTGACCCTCCCCTGCCCCTCTCCATCAGTGCTGGGGTCACATTAGCGCAGTGATGGATTAAAACTGAGGGAGAAGAGAAACCATGGAATACTAGTCTGTACCTGTGTGCAAAAGTGTATTTGCTTTGGAAGAATAAATCACCTCTAATGTTGGGTGTCCTACATGTGTGGATGTTGCTGCGTTATATAAAACTAGTAGAATCATTTTTCACATTTTAGAATGGGGTGCCCTTTTAAAATTACGGTCAGTCTTGTGGCACCCTGTTTTAGAATGGGGTGCCTCAAGACTGTTCATAATTTTAAAGGGTGCTCTGACTGAAAAAGGTTTGAGATACACTGTTGTATACTGTGTGTAGCTGAGGCTTCATACAGTTTATACACTGTGCCCAGTGGGCACACCTGCTAATGTAGGAAATAATTTGCTTGGGCCAGCTTGGCCCAAATTAACGAAAGTGAAAGGAAAGCTGGAGATCCACTTCAATGAAAAAAAATACGACGTATAAACGGAAGTGTTTTCATTGGTTTCCCGATCATATGATCTTTGTGATTGGCTGTCACAGTGATCATGTGATCAGGGCCCATCCTACCAACTCCCAATTGTTATGTAACCTGAAATTGCCTGTGACAACCAACAAGTACACAATTTCCCACCTGTGTGCTGCCATGAATATGCATTCAGCTGGCAGGGAAGAGTTGAGAACCAAGCCTGTGTTTCAGTTCAGATAATAAGGCCGATGCATCAATTTTGGGTAGAAAATACCTTGACATTGCAGGTTTTACCCAACTCGGAATACATTATGAAGCAACACGTCTCCAACTTTGTAAAAATATTTCATTTTTGTTTCTCAGTTGTGTGAGGCATTGGATGACCTACAGAATGTCAACGGAAATCTGAGAAACGAAGGCCAAGGTTTATGGATTATGATGGGCAAAATAGTTTCACAGGTACGTTTCTCAACTATTGAAAACTTTTGTGTTTTTGAATCTGATGACATTTGGCTGATCTTGAAGGTGGTTATGATATTGTGGGTGCTGCGTCCTGTAAAATAGTGCTGTGGGCTGACCCTGCAAAAAGTTTTTATTTTCCCTTGTTACCTTCTCCCACGCTCGGCTCCAGGACTATTCCAGAACCTCTCCTGTCCTCTGGAACTTCCTGCCCCAGTATGTCTGGTTAGTTCCTACACTGTCCACCTTTAGGCGTTCCTTGAAAACACATTTATTCAGGGAAGTCTACCCCACCTCCACCTAAGAACTTTACTTGAGTCGCCTCCATCAAATCCCTCCCTGCAGCTATCACCTTTTGTACCACCTCCCTCTCCCCTTAGATAGTAAGCTCCTCGAGCCGGGCCCTCCTATTCCTTCTGTATTGAACTGTATTGTAATTGTACTGTCTCCCTTTATATTGTAACGTGCTGCATAAACTGTTGGCGCTATATAAATCCTGTATAATAATAATTTTACTGTAGTGCAGGCAGACCTTGCCTGCATGTCAGTGCATAGAATTTTTTTTTTTTTTTATCTGAGCAAATAGTTCTCGTTTAAGTACTAGCCAGGGCTGTAGGCTTCTTAACACTGAGCGTTCCACAAGGTTCTCTGTGCTGAGAGATCATTAAAGCAATATTAAACCCAAAATGTAATATAAAATGTAATATATTGCAGCTTACAAATCATTAGATGTGGTGGCTGCATTAGTTTTCTTTTTTTAGGCTTTTTAACTCCCTCTGTTTTCACCTGGTGATCTGGCCAGTAACACCCCTCCTGTATTAGAGTGCCTCCACGCTGGATGAAGGAGCACAGAGGGCATAATAGAGAGCAGCATTGTGAATCTGGGGCTATCACCTCCCCCTTCCTTTAGAATGTAAGCTCCACGAGCCGGGCCCTCCTATTCCTTCTGTACTGAAAGTATTGTAATTGTATTGTCTCCCTTATTTTGTAAAGCGCTGCGCAAACTGTTGGCGCTATATAAATCCTGTATAATAATAGAATAATAATAATAATAAATTAGTTATTGTCAGATGCTGCTGAGTTTGGTCTGGACATCTAGACCTCAATAACCTCAGGTCATAAAGGAATTAAGCTGCCACCACCTACCTTACCAGCATCCTTGAAGGAAGTTTGATTTTCTGAAAGCTGAATCTTCCACAGGGCTAACCCTGATCGCATGTGACAGTGCTTGCACCCATTTAAATACAGGTTGTATAAGTGCCCAGTCATGTTTCTATGTAGGCTTCCCAAAGTCCTCTCCATGGCTAGGTGTGGAGAAGGAAGGGGCAGCATCCTCGGTCAGTGAGGCTTTGTTGCATTTCACTTTAGCAGTAGTAGTTTCTAACAGGAGGATAGCACAGCTATTATGTCATTAGTGTAACAGTGCTGCTTTATTGCCTAGACAGCAGTCTGGAATGGACTTGTGACAATGCTGTAAGAGCAAACTCCCGAGACCTTGACTGCACGGTTTGATGGGGTGGTGTTGATCACATAACTGGCTAGACTGAATTTCCAATCTTTTGGCAGGTAAAACAGTTCACATATTTGTATTTCAGCTCTTTATAGCTTTCTTTGCCTGAAGTCCAACTTTAAACACATCTGCAGGAGCTTGTATGTAGAACTTTTTGTCAAACCTGCAAAAATCTTCCTAAGGCGAAGTTGTAGATGTCTGAATTCTGACAGCAGGGTTCTCAAGCTGTGCCGTCTTGATGCCTCAAAGGCTTCCTTTCAGGAGAGGAACTGGATGATTAATGTAGCCATAATCAGCTGTCTCCTGTCATCCTCTGCAGCTGAACTGATAAAGGGACATGAGCTGGATGGCCAACCAGGGACTTTTCTACTTTGCAATCGTTTCCTGGAAAACTGTAACGTTGACCTGTCAGGCAGGTTCATAATTTGGGACATTTAGTAATGCGGTCCAGGCAAAAGCCTAATGGCAGCTGATATCTAATACCTGTGCATTCCTTAAGACTAGGTTCACATATGTGCGGGTGGTGCCGCTGCAGATCTGCACAAAAATCTATACAGCCGCACCACCCACACAGAAGAATGCGAACCCGCGGGGGCGGGTGCCCACACTGGAAATCGCAACCGCACTGGGAAACGTCTGTGCATGTCCCGGGGCACGGGAGTCCGTTCAAATGAATGGGCTCTTGTGCCTGTGAAAAACGCAGCCCACACGGCCGCATATATGTGAACCAGGGCTTAGTGAGGAAGCAAACTCTTTTCTCACATCTTTTGTGCATTTACACTGGAAGTGAGATGATATTGCAGGGTGAGCAAGATTCACCAGTACATGGGAAGCTTATAGGTCTGGTTGGAGGAAAAGACTCTGCTCCCTCTTTGCTGACCTGTCTTAAACTGATTCTAAAGCTAAACACATTTTTTACCTTAATGTATTCCTTGCATTATAGTAGAACTATAGGCAAAACTTTTTTTTTTTTTTTTTTCATTTTGGATAGAGCAAGGGAGGTTTATACCCCCTTTCAAATTTTTTCGCCATCTGTGTCCCTTCACCTCCTGTCCCATAACCAAACAGGAAGTGAGAAAAAAATACCTGCAAATTAAGGGAATTCCTTTTGGACCCCCAGGTCACCAGAAGAAGTGTCCCCACTGGAAAATTCCCTCCTTATTACTTTTTTGGGGACAACCAAAAATTAGGGTTTTTTTTTTTTCTTTCAGTTTCAATTATAAGATTGTAAGCCGCAAGGATCAGGGCCCTCCTAACCCTCTGTATTGAACTGTGTTGTTGCTTTATTGTCTCCCGTTATATTGTAAAGTTGCTGAACAAACTGTTGGCGCTATATAAATCCTGTATAATAATAATGGTAAACAGGACAAACCGAGAGGGTGAATCCCCCTAATGGGACACAGACTGCAATAAAAACCTGACAGGGAGTCTAATCTCTCTAGTCCAAAACTAGAAAAAAAAAAGTTTTGCCTTTTAGTTAAACTTTACGGTAAAAATGTTTTATATTTTTCAATCCAGCATTGTACCCAAGAGCAGCTGTTCTCTCTTCTCACTGACCATAGAGGCAGCAGCAGGAGCCATTGGCTGGTTGATCACAGTCTGTGAGAAGAGAACAGGGATGGGGCCAAACCTTGCTCTGTGTCAATAGATGCACAAAGCCCAGCTTGGGAGCGAGCTGCAGCTTGCTATGGGGATACTCAGGGGGAGGAACTAGAAGGAATAATGAGGAACCCCAAAATAGGTGATTTGGTCTGCTCTGTGCAAAACCATTGTAGAGAAGTAAAGCATGAAATGTTTGTTAAAAACAATTCCTTTAGGATCACTCTAAAGTTAATCACAGGGTGGAAATAGAGTTTCTTTTACCTAAATCTAATTATGGACTAACTTTTAATCGTACTGCGCTGCTGTGTATAAGGCCTACTAGCTTTCCATGGAGTGGATGAATCGTGGTCATTGTATGATGGAAGGTTTTCAGCTCACTGGATTTCCAGCAGGATCACCAGTTCATTGGTAGGGAGAGTTTACATACATTTTAAGACTAAGTTCACATCTATGCAGGCTGTGGCTGATGTGTTTTACTGGCACGTTTTGCGTTTTTGATGATGTGTTTTTTTTCCTCTTTTTTTATGTGTTTTGCGTTTGTTTTTTGCTTAATACGAAAGTATGATGGTTCTGTTCTTCTTCAACTTTGATGCAACTTGACAGACTCTGGCATTTGAGTAGCATCAAAGTCACATCAAAATAGTGCAGGAACCTTTGTGTGTCCAAAGTCGCATGTTGAGGTTAAAGCCTGGGGTTAGGATTAAGTTAGTGCTAACCCGGGCGATGGTGGCCGACCCGGGCGATGGTGGCCGACCCGAGCGATGGTGGCCGACCCGAACGATGGTGGCCGACCCGAACGATGATGGCTCATTGGTAGGGAGAGTTTACATACATTTTAAGACTAAGTTCACATCTATGCAGGTTGTGGTTGATGTGTTTTTCTGGCACGTTTTGCGTTTTTTGTTTTTTTTTTTTTCCCTTTTTTTGTGTTTGCGTTTGTTTTTTGCCTAATACAAAAGTATGATGGTTCTGTTCTTGGAGCGCAACTTTGATGCAACTTGACGAGACTCTGGCACTTGAGTAGCATCAAAGTCACATCAAAATAGTGCAGGAACCTTTGTGTGTCCAAAGTCGCATGTTGAGGTTAAAGCCTGGGGTTAGGATTAAGTTAGTGCTGACCCGAGCGATGACAGCTGACCCGAGCGATGACAGCTGACCCGAGCACTTAACCTTAATCCTAGCATGCAACTTTGGACGCATAAAGGTTCCTGCACTACTTTGATGTGGCTTTGATGCTACTTAAGTGCCAGAGTGTGTAAAGTTGTATCAAAGTCGCACTGCATGAAAAAAAACTATCTACTTTCCTATTAGCCAAAAAAAATAAATAAACGGAACACTTGCATTTTTGGTTTGGTTCCATTGAAGTCTATTACAGCCAAAATGAAATTTGCTGCAGGAAAAAAAAAGGAAAAAAGTTCCTGACCCTTTCCAAAAACGCAACAGCTGAAAATGCACAGATGTGAACTAGATCCAAAGGAAACCATATTAACTGGACTGTATTGCTTTTCTGCAAATCACACTAAAAAGTGAACCAAGGGTTAACAAGTGGATTAAAGTGCTGGGCATTGGACTCCAATTGTTCACGGTTCTTTAGATGGATAGGCAGATTTAAGATTTGCTTCCTGTGTGGATGGGTTATAATATGGATGTGTGTTCTCACTACTAAATTGTGGAAGGAGTAACCATGTACCAAATGTGAAAATAGAAAAAAGTCTCCTGCGCTGCAAATGGATACCCTATCTTTAAGCAGCCAACACCAACCTTAACCACAAAGTTTAAAGTCACAGATACACAATACAATATAATGGTGTAGCGCTAAATGCATATAAACGTATATGTATAAAGACATGCAACACACCCCTACCCACAAAATAAAAACATAAGCCCC